TTTCCTCATTTTTTTTGTAGATGAGAAACATGAAGCAGAGGAAGAAAGAGTGGATAATTTGTCCAACGTCATATAAAAAGTTAGTGGCAAAACCAGAAGGAAGGAAAAAGAAAGAAAGAAAGAAAGAAAGAAAGAAAGAAAGAAAGAAAGAAAGAGAAAGAAAGAAAGAAAAAAAAGACATGAAGGAAGAAAAAAGGAAGGAAGGAAGAACAGGAAGAAAGTTTGAATCCCACATCCCCATGTGACCTTGGGCAAGTCACTCCAACTCTCTGTGCCTCAGTTTCCTCATTTATAAAATAACAAGGTTGGAGTAGATAGTTTCTAAGGTTTCTTCCAGCTCCAAACCTATGAGCCTAAATACTTCTGTAGGAAATATGAGGTACTGCTAGGCTGAAAATCCCTTATTTATTCCCTATTGGAAATAACCTCCTTAAGGGCAGGAACTGTTTTTGTTTTTTGTTTGTATCCTCAACTTAATTCAGTGCCCAACAGATGGTAAGTACTTAATAAATGCTTGTTGATTAATTGATTAATTGAAAGAGGTTTGAATGGGGTGAGCTTTTTATTTAAAGCCATTCATTTCCCCTTCAATTCTATGATTCTTTGATTTCTAGCTCTATAAAATGAATATATGTGCTACTTCTTAAATTCCTAAAGTTCAATAAAAATAAGTTTTCCCCCAAAGAAGGGTAAATGAAAGGTAAATATATACATATGTACATGGTTAATTATAATAAAGTATGTTATTTGTGTACTGATGTGGTCTATACTTCCTTATTCCATTTACATTTTACTCATTTAAAAAGAGAGACCTTTAATTTAAATAAACAAATTCTTTGTTGCTGCAGTTTTATTATTTCAACCAAAATGCCAAAGAGGAATAAACAACTGGGACTTTGATTTCCAGTGGACCATCTTATTTAATTTTATGCATGGAGCTGGGCTAACGTCAAAGTACAAAATTTATGTTTTGTTTGTTCGTTTAATCTCACAAATTGCTTTACATTGTTAACAATCTCAAAAATGTTTGTGCAGCATCATCATCATTTGGCTGGAATGTGAAAATCAATTCAGAATGCTTCTTTAGGTGAACTGCTCATGAAGACATCAGCAAAGGAAACCACCATTGAGTCCGAGAGGGCAGCTAATGACTAACATCCAAAAAGAGATAAATAATCTTATCCCATAAATCACTATGAGAAGATGTGATTGACCAATAATCTCTACCATGACAAATAGCACTCTACCTATAAGGGTAAGTAAGGGCAACATTCCACCCCAGTGATTTTTCCCATTAGCTGTGAAAGCCTTAGTGATATTGCAGCTGTCTAATTAATTCCAGATTAACTGTGCTGCTATTGTTATTACTGAGCAATGTGTGCTGTAGGCACTTAGAAAAACAAGAAAGTATAAATCCTGATGGACCTAAGCTAGGCAGGATCTCATATCATCTGTGGTCTAGGGTGAGGTTTTTTTTGGGGGGGGTAAAGGGAGGGTATAATGAAGTGAAATGTCATAAAGGGGGTTCCTCATCAGATATAGATTGGACAAGATGACTTCTGAAGGTTCTTGCCAGTTAAGACAGTCTGTGAATGCTGGGCTGTATTCTCTGAGCTTGCCTAGAGATACTTTTGTTTATTCTCACCAATACAATACTAACAATTAACAACTTTGGCAGCTCTGGGAATGGTGACTCTACATCCCAGATTTTATAGGACAGTCCTAATTTTATGAATCATATGACCATAGACAAAGGACCTTAGAGATCATCTAGCCTAATATCCTCATTTCACAAATGAGGAAACAGAGTAGTAAAGTATGTTTAACTAGGTTTTTATAAAAGAAATATCTGTGTATGTCTTTTTTTGTTTTAGAAAACAAAAATGGTTCAAATTTATATGCCATTTTAATATTTAGGTTATAGATCTAGAGCTGCTTTAAATCTTAGAAATCATATAGTCCAACCATTCATTTTATAGAAGCCAACAGAGGTCAATTGATTTTTCCAAGGTCACACAGATAGTACAGCCAGGATTTGAACATAGATCCTTTGACACCAAACCCAGTGTTCCTTCAACTACAGCACATTTCCTCAGAATTAGCCCTTAAATCAATTGAACAAGCATTATATCCCCAATTAATTGATAAGGAAATTGAGGCTAAGAAATATTAGATGGCTTAGCAATGGGCTCGTAGCTAGGACTTGAAGTCAGGTCTGAGACTAAGACCAGTTCACTTCTCTATGTGATTTGAAGTAATAGCAGAGCAGTACAAACCTATCAAAACAATCTAAAGTAGATGAAGTAAGACCAGAAACTTTTTTTTTTTTTTTTTGGCTAGGCAATGGGATTAAGTGACTTGCCCAGGGTCACATAGCTAGTAATTGTTATGTTTCTGAGGCTGGATTTGAACTCAGGTCCTCCTGAATCCAGGGCCTGTGCTCTATCCACTGCGCCACCTAGCTGCCCCAAGAGCAGAAACTTTTGAGGAGACCAGAAGTTCCCTGAGGACAGGGACATCTTAACTAAACTCATCCTAGTATAGTGCTCTGCACATAGTAGTTGCTTAATAAATGTTTGTTGAATGAAAGAATGAGGTGGAGGTTTTATTACTACATTAATAAAACCTTCCTACCAACCTGGTCTAAAGCTACTCTCACTCTCTGGGCCCCTGGAACTGGAATCAGCTATGGTATGGAAAGGGTAGTGTGCTAAGGAAGACATCTTCTTATTTAAATACTCTATCTAACTAGCTTTCAGAAAAAGAAAGGTGAAATCAATATTACAGACCTATTCTTGGGATTCATCTAATTGACATGGTGTTATTACAACAAAGTTATGATATTGAAGAATTTTCTTTGGCAGAATATAAGGTCCCATTTATGAGTCTTACTGTAGATCTACCGCATGGACTGTTTTTCTTTTCCTTCCTAAACCCAAAATTGCCTTAAATGCTGCAATTGTTCTCTTTAATTGTGATTCCTTTCATTATGCCAAGTATGGTCATCCAATGACTGAAACATGTATAAAAGCTCTGTGGGTTTTTTCTCATTAAAAACCTTATTTAGTTATACATAGATACCTATAATATTATATATATATAATGTATATATACATATACATATACATACACATATATATGTATGTGTGTATATATGTATGTATGCATGTGTGTGTATTTGTGTATATGTGAATATATACATATGCATATATATGACTCACTATATCTAGAAAGAGAGAGATAGTAAGAGAGTCAGTTTGAGAATTGTATTTGCAAGGACAAAAGATAGCACGGGGAATAGATCTGATCACAAAGCAAGATCCTTGTTTCTATATCAGGATGTGGGGGGGTGTTAAGGGGGAGAGAGGGTAGGGAAGTTCTAATAATAGAACATTATTAGCTTTGGATAAAGGGCTGAAGGGCTTCATTGATGTTCATTAAGATTTCCTAATTAGAGAGTGAATAACTGCTGTTTAATGGGAAGTGAAGCAGGGTAGGGATGGGGGGTGGGTGAGAACAAACATAGAACTGGGTGAACTCTTCATTCGTCTTACGTTTTGATGTAGGAAGGATGGGTAGGAACTTTAAAATTTGTCGTTAATAAGCCTTAATGGGTTCAGTGAAAATATTGCACTGGTCTGTTCCTTTGTCCTTTTGGAAAACATTCAAAGGAAGAAAGCAGCAGGAGGCAAAAATGAGGCAAGATAGGGTGTCTGGTTTTGCAGGAATCTGAGACACAGATGGAGTCTTTTAAAATATCTCTTGAAAATATATATTCATGGTCAAACAGTCTGTCCAGGTAGCTGTTTCAGGGCCTAATGAAAGCAGAAGGCTTCCATAAAGGTAGATAGAATCATAGCATTATAGGACTGGAAGGAGTGTTTATTATAGTAGACATTGGGTTGGGGACTGGGCAGCCCAGTAAAAGAAGTGTTTTCAAAATGTTCCCTGGGAGCCTGAATTTCAACACACACTACTGTAGGTGTCTGTAAATTGATAGTTTGAGGCAGCCTAGGTGTTTCAAAGTCTTTGTTTCAGTGTTCCTATTTTGAGTTGCCTTTTAATCATTCCCTACTATGATGTCAGCCACCCTGGGAGTGAAACAATACAACTGATCCAGGATTCTTAATGCCATGGTTATGTGATTTACTGCCACACTTTGCTTAGTCAGCTGGGCAAAGATTTAAAGAAAATAAACAATGTATGATGGTATATCTATAGATTTGATCACAAGACCTAAGCCATCAGGTTTATAGCAAGGGAGTGGCAAAGTAAACACAGAGTGGGGAGCTGAATGCAGTGCATAGCTGAGTTCTGTGTGCATTTGTATGTGTGTGTAAGAGAAAAAGCCATCAGGGCAGTCAGATGCTCAGGAGCATGCTCAGTAGTGTTCTGGGCTCCCTGAACAGGCTGGGCAGTCAGCAAGGTGGATTAATTGAAACTGATGGAAGAGAAAAGCATGATTAAAACTGACACCGATCCAAGTCTCTGGAAGGACCTCTGGCAAATGATTTATTTCCTGGAGGCCAAATTCAAGGTGCAATCCTCCACCGCTCAGTTTTGTTGTTGTTAAAGGATTAAATTTTTATTAATATATAAATAAAATCTCCAAATTGGGTATGCAGAAGCACATATGTGTTCTAGTTCCCATCCGTAAAGCATTTTTACATTGGATAGTGGTCCAGAAAGCATGTTCAGCATTAAGCTGTTGAAGCAACATTGGGATTCTAAATGACCATCATCCCCACTTCGCCCCACAATTACGGGAAGAACTGGACCTGGGACGCTGACAAAATAAGGCAATTGATGCTCCGACTAGTTTCTGTACCTAAGAGCAATAAAGTATGTTTACACATTCACACGCGCATACACACACACACACACACACACACACACACACAGAGTTGTCTGGACCTGTGGGTTGCTCTTGCTTGTCAGTGGGAGAGGCTGCTTGTATGTGGCTGGGGGTTGGGGGGCTACTGCCAAGAGATTGTACTCACCTCTCAGTCTCTGGAGGAACGTGGGCCACGCCTACTTGGGTAAAGTGGGATCTTCTCTAACGCACTGCAAGGCTTCGCGGGCACTCCTGCTCTAGCACGTCGCTGAAGAAGCCTGCCTCCGACTTCGGACCCAAACCAACCCCCTTCTTCTGAGCATGCCCAGCGCACATAAGAGTTGCACTGTGCAGACTCCGCTTCTCCGGGTTTTAGCTCTTGCTAAAAAGGAACAGAGAGAGGGAGATGCTAGACAGAGGGCTTCAAAGAGGAACTGCCTCTGAAAAGGGCAAGGATGGGGAGGGAGGGAGGGAGGGAGGGAGGGAGGGACGGACGGAGAGAAGGAAGGAGGGGGAGGAAGGGAGGGAGAGAGAGAGAGAGAGAGAATGAGAAATAAGATGGCTGGGGCCGTGGATAGAAGAGCTACAATGCTACCAACATTTATCAAGCTCCACCTATGTTCTCCACTGGGGAGATTTCAACTGAGCAGGGTGATTAACATGCATCCCAGGCATCCCGAGTCGCCTCTATTTGCAGGGGAAGACTGGCAAAGCAACAGGAGGAGACAGAGAAGGCCATGGAAGAAATGGGGCATTCCTCACCCCGTCCAGCTCCCCCCACCCCCACGCCCCGCGCAAGGAGACAAGATCCCTTAGGGACTTTGACGTGGCTGGAGGTGGGTTGGAGCCAGTGTCCACTCCTTGGACTGTAGGCTCTGTGGGTGGCGGGAGCAACTTGTTTGCTCCCGTACCCTTGGGCATGTGGGATTAGTTTATCCATTCCAAGACAGAAAGAAAAAAGAAGATTGATATTGATATTCTATGCCTGCTGTCCTTTGTAGCTTACTTTCTCTCTCTCTCTCTCTCTCTCTCTCTCTCTCTCTCTCTCTCTCTCT